AATTTTAATATTCTCAATATCGCAAAACTCGGTTGGAATTTAATTTATTCGATAAAATGCGACACACGCGCAACATTTCACGAAGCGTCTTATTATTTCCTGGAAATAACTCATCATTGTTCTTAAAAATCCATATTCGCAGAGATCCGAAATCGTCTCGGGCGACGTTTCTACCTGCTCGGATCCCGTTGCGTGCAAGGTGTAGCCCTACACGCAAACGACCGTACGTCCTATGAAATCTCACTCACACGAAAGCACCTTGCGTGTGCGCATCTGTTCCCTAACCCCCTGTCGCCCCCGCACCGATAGAGCACCAACCTCAGTTTAAAGTTGATGGATTTTAAGTTAAATCGCTCACGGCGTCGTGTTCCTAAATTTTGATACAGTTTTGCATGCATTAAGTCCATATTAAATCACACTTATGCATTATAGTAATTTCTTTTAAAATGGTATATGTTTTTTAATTTATTTTACAGATCGACAATGTCAAATTTGTACTTTAAGTATGAATTACTTTGTAGTATTAAATCTTTGAAGTAGCAGTACTATTCACAATCTAAATAATTAATTAAAAAATGATATTTAAATTATTATGTATAATATGAACTTTATTTTGCTTAAGAATCTAATGCAAATAAAGGGATGTACCTACAGCTGACGATGATGTGGCGGTAGTTCATTATCTAATTATGAATTGTTAAATGTTATTAAAATCGTTATGAATACAATAAAGTTATGGGGCTTATGGGGCTGTACAGCTTGTGATGCTGAATGCCTCTTTTGGAAATGTATAATAAAAATATAGATTAGAAAAATATAGATATTCAGAACGAAATAAGTGCAGCAAACTACTTAATGCGAACGATTTTCCTAGAACGCATAATCAGTGAGTTTATTTCACGTCTCATATTTATGCTAAGTATAGTAAATTGAATTTGAATACACAATTTACATATGCTGTAGCCTTCAGATCTACAGATAACAGTGTGGATTTGTGATAAAAATGATAATGTTACTGCGTAATGTTTTGTGACTTCTTCGATACTGAATATGTCAGACGATATAACATGGGAGATAAAAGCTTTGTGTAGAGGAAAAAGTGGACTCTTCAAATAAAACTTTAACGGTTTAAGACGCGATATATTAGTTCTAGTACATCGCGGTAAACCGTTAAAGTGTTTTATTTGAATGTGTACTACTCGCGTAAACTATAGACAGTATTTAAGCGGAATCTTCGTCCCGCATATAGAGAACACATTTTTGTGACCGTTACTGATCGAATACCGTAATACCGTAGATATATTTGAAAACTTTATTATTTTTTACATGTTATTGCACATGAAGAACCTTAATACGCAAGTGTTAAGGTTGAAATTACATGGCGCGAGAGGTGCTGCATCAATAAGTTGAAAAAATTCGACGATGAGGTGTAGGACTCGGTAGCTCAATTGGTAGAGCAACAGCACGGAAAGCTGACGATGCCGGTTCAAGTCCTGCCGGAGTCGAAAAATTTTTCAATTTATTTTCGATTTTTACATTTTTCAAACCGTAGATATAGGCAAGATTTGACCCGTGTCCAACAGCATACCGTTGTTCTGTCAAGTAATGTTTGATACAGATTTGTAATTATATATACTATGAATTATGTATATTCAAGTTAAATCTAAGAAAACCCACTTCTAAAAATTTTCTCCCAGATTCATTACACATACAAACCACGAGCACAAGCACGAGACGTGAACGAGAGTAGCAACAGCAATACTGAGAATCAGCAACCGCCATTACTCGAACAAGCTAACATTGTTTAAAGTTATCGATACTTGTTCTACAAATAGTTGCAAACTACTGCTTACCTTTTCTAGAGCTTGTAGTTCAACCATTATTTATACAAATGTTTATTAGCTGTATGTAATAAGAACAACTTGAAAAATTATCGTAGGTATCTCGCATTTTTCTCTCACATTTAATGAAAGCTAAACCTAAAACGTCTTGCATAAGTATTGGTAATTAAATGTTCCTAAACCATTTCAACATATTTTGCTCCATAAATAAATATTTACAGGACAATAAAGTAAACTTGTACTTATCAAGATTTTCCAACAATTCTGGATGTAACTTGGTAATTGGTAAAAATGTGACAACACTAAACTTGTCCATGTATCAATATTTTGTTTTTCAAAATACCAAGATACAAAAAAATACCTCTTTCCCCTGATATGCTTAAGTAAAAAGCGAAATCAAAGTTTGTCTTTTAGTGACAGATAAGATAGACACGCTATCTAATATATGTCTATAATAACTGAACACGACGCTATTTGAGTTTCTCTGATTTGAAAAATTTTCCAAAATTCTTTCAGAAGGCTCGTATAATTCGGCCAATCTACCCAATACGATAATTGTTTATCACTGATAAGGTAAGGAAAACGCGGTAAAACACTGGCGTATGAAACAATTTAACTTATCAATATGGTATGTTTGATAATTTCGGTAAAGTTCGTGGAATCTCATATCTATACGTGCAGCTGGTAAAACAGGCATTTTCAATATAAGTACTACGCAGTTATAAAATAGTGCCTAAGTGGCTTAATAGAGAAACGCATTGCCTAACAAAGCGATAAGAGCAAGAGATTCTGGGTTCGAATCCTGAAGGAACTGAATATTTTCGGTTGCCAGGGTGTAGAAACATGGTCAAATTATTCTGCCAAGTAAACCAGGCACAGATATGTGTCTCCTGAGATGTCCTACATAGGAGAAACGGAATATATCACATAAAAAATGTCATGGAACAAACCAGAGACGTGTAATTTATCTACCAGCAATAATATAATTGTTTCTTCTTTATAACGTCCGAAATGATCTAAATAACGACAATATTATTACTGAAGGCTGAATTTTAGAATATTCAAGAAAGTAGGTATTGATTTTTTTTATGAGAAGTGAAGAATAACTCATTATAACTAAAACATCTCTCTATGTAAGTATATTTTTAGTCTTTTTCGTTGAATTGGCCATTTTAGGTTGATATTAGTTTTCTTTTTTATAAGATTTGTTTAGTAAAGTTTACAGTTCAAAACATATGTAAAATTGTACATGATATCGTTATATGGATTTAACAGCTATTTAGATAAAAAAAAACACGGTGGCTCAATTGGTTAGAGCAGCAGCACGAACCATGGGAATGCTGTTTCAAGTCCCGCCTGTGTTATCGTTTTTTTCAATCTATATAGATTTTTAACTTTATAGCTATAAACCACGGACTCCGTTAAAGCCGGTTCTATATAATTTTGCCATCGAATAAATTATTTATGAGTTACACCCGAGGTACAATTTGAGTGATAATCGCGAAACCGCTTATCTTTGTGATATTTTTAACTTACGTCATTGTGTATTTTAGTTTTATGCCTCCGAAACCAAAAGCAACATAGCTCCTACGAATTTAATGTCGCAAGCTCGGAACTGCAGTCTTTGTTTGGCTGTGATTTTGTAAACATAACAGTAAATGTATATTACAGTCTCTTATCGTCAACCATAAAATTATAGATATTGATGAATAATTCAGAACGTGTGTATACATATAGAATCAAGTTAAACGTTAAAGAAGGGACAAAATTTTAAAAAGAAACGTCGATACATGTAGTCTTGTAATCGATTGGTAATTGTTAACTTGACTATGCTATAAACGAGGCGAGTAACGTCAGGTAGCCCGGGATAAAAACAGTTGAAATGGAACGGACGTAGCCGTTCTCACCTAGATAACGCTCGACCGATTAAACTACAGTCTACACAACCTAAAGCCCCGGTTACCAACCCGGTTTTGAACGCCTCAACGTGAAAAGGACTCTCTCTCATTACACCCTAATCATTCATTCATATCGCATGCACTCCGATAATAATATAAATAGGCCCTAACGTCCATGAATGAACATACAGCTTGTAAATTCGTCGCTCAAATAGAAACAGGCCCGCGCGTAGGCGTCGCGTTTGAATGAAAATAAACACTCCTCTAACATACCTTTCGATTTTAATTAAAGTATCCAGTATAGCGATATCCACAGCACTATTTGAGAGTTTTTAGTGCAGGCTTCGAACCTGCGAGCATATCACAGTTACGCGGTTCGTTAGACGCGGCGGGCACAAGTAATAAACGAGCCGGCTCGAACAGTACTGCGCCCACACAGGTATAGATGCGCCGGCGACGAACGCACACACGCGCGTTCATTCAACGCGGTGGTGGGGCGGAATTATGAATGGACGTAGTGGAGCTATGCTGTATAGATATCACTGATAAGGTTTCGCATTATAACCATAATGTGATACAGTGTGCGATCCCGAGAAACGCCGAACTAACTCGCCGTAGCGAAATATGATCACGTAATTAATTTTGAAATCACACACAGTTAATCATAATAAATGTTAAAAGTTTGATTTCCTTGTTTCATCAATCGTAAGATCGCCTCCATGTATGATTACCTAGTTTCACTTGAAAGAAGACATTCAGTGAACAAGGCTCCGAAGTCTGACCTAGTTGGTCAGAATTCGGAGCCTTGTTCGTCCGTAAAAATGGATTAATTAAACAAACACAGATATGTATCTGATCCATGTCCGTCCCGGTTTGATATGGGACTGTTCGGTTAAATCACAACATATTTAAATAAATTTATTAACAATAAGTTGCTTTTGAACTAAAAACACTTATTAGCTATGAATTCCTAGTGTGGAGGCTAGTACACCCTAAGACAAAATATAAGCAATATTTTTATAATTATAAATTTGTACTTGTAAAGAAACACTTTTAACATTTTTATCGTCTATGATGTGTGACAATTTTGCATTATATTCAAACTAATAACATAAAAATTACAGTCAATAATTTTATTATAGTAATGAGTTGGGTTGACAATAAGAAGACAGATTTATGTGCAAGTTTATTCAATAAATAACGTTTAATAACTGATTGAAACAATATATTATGACGGTGTTATATTAAATGGAGGGTGACATTAATAGAGTCCCTTCAGGAAACTGGATAACTTGTGGCTTTTGTAGTCGGCGCGGAGTTGAATGAAGTTCAAAAGCACCGAATGGTCTAGCTCCGCCTGCAATCAAAAACATAGTTACATACTAGCTTTTCCCGCGACTTCGTTTGGGCTTCATTTTTTTGCGAACAACCTCCTTAGCTGTATAAATTATAAGTATTATTACCCATAACGCCGATCGCATCTCGTCGTTCTATCGAGTTAATCTTAAAAGATAGACTACTAGATAAATAGATATAATGTCGCGGACATTTTAAGAGGAATCATTCTTTCATATATATTTTTTGGGTATCTTAAACCGTTTTCATAGCGTACGCAACGAAAAGCCGAAACTCAAAGGTGAACATTATTTTCTGTTTTTTCTACATTTGGCACTGTTTCTTCATTCCTATAGTTCGCAGTTGTAAAACCTTTAGAGATAAATGGTTCAACTAACACAAAAAATATTTTTCATTTCGATCCATAGTTTAGGAGATTAGCAGGTTCAAACAGACAAACTCTTCAGCTTTATAATATTAGTGTAGATTATAAGCCGGTATCGCATTATTAAAATATAATCGACTGGCAACCTGTACGTAAAGCCGAGTGTGTTTACACCACTAGACCAAGATATCTCTACTATAAAAAAAAATAAAATATATTACACATATATAAATCTAAAAGAATACTACGGAATAACATTAGGACAAGTTATAACTTTGATATAAGTACTTGGTTGATTTAAAAGATATTGAATTTTCATTTATTAGTACAATATTGTTTTGTTTATTTGTACTGCGCACGAGTGCGCATTATGAGATCGTTTGCATGCTACATCGATTGCATCGAGTAGAAACTAATATTTATGCAAAGCGTCGCCGTCGGAGTTTAGTTTCTAAGTAATCCAGTGAGGTTAAATTGATGTATATATATTTTTTCCTATTTATAGAAAGTAGAATATTGTTGCTGATTACCGTGGTCTGGGACCTTTCTGTAAAGACAATTAAAAGAACTGTTCCCAATTCTTTCATTCAAATTATAATTTATTAATCCATTAACAGTTATCTCCTATGTACCCAGTGATTCCTAAATTGTAATATTTAGTTAATTGAAAAAGTGGTATGATTATCACGCAAACAAAGGTTAAGATTTATGTCCTCATAATACATGGCCTACCTAGATGAATGGACAAGAAAATTTTAACATAGATTTCGTAATCGAACCAGTCACATTCGTTTAAATAAAACATTTTTAATACAAAACACAGTCAAACTTATTTTTAAAATATTTTAACTACCCCTACGTTTTGGATGCTTTGCTTTGATACGTTTCGCTTTTTAAACCGTTAATTTTAACTGTTTAAAATGCGTTTTATTTAAATTTGTACTACTCGCGTACACGATATTTTACGATACAAACTTATACTATAACTGATCTATTATAAGTATCGATTTTTAATTTTTTAACCTGATTTAGTTTATTTCCTAGTTTTAAAACGGGACGACCAACTTTCGAGTCATATTGTGAGCTTGTGACAAAATGTTTTTTATAAAAAAAACTTTATAACGGTGATTGGATGTATAATAAAGTCATGACAATGCAATATACGTTTTTATCTCTTGTAATATGTACAAATCGCCTAAAACTATTGTTATCAACTATCAGTCTGATAGCGAACAAGGAAGAATTTTTTCTTCGAAATTGATATAATTGTTGAATAATCTAAGCTATGTTATTAACGAAATCGACGTGACATGAAGAATATAATGTTTACTTTGTTTAACGGATAATTACTTATTAAATATAAATATTATTATCTTTATCAAAAACGTAGCACTGGTCACGATTTAGGATTAAGTGTTGATAGAAACAAAATTAACAAATATTTTAAATGTATTTTATCTCTACTAATATTATAAAGCTGAATCTAAGAAAGAAGTAACTACTAGAGTTCACAATTATTTCGTGTTGAATAGATAATTTATCTATATAACATTACAGCGAAGAAACTTTAAAGAAATGTGCAAAAAACTGGTAAACTTATTTTCGTTGTAATTTTCCGTTACGTGCTCTGCGAATATACCCAAAACATATGTAAGAAAAAATGATTCCTCTTTAAATGAGATAAATTTCTATAAATGATGCGGGAGACATCGTGGGTAATAGCTATAAAATATAAAGATGAGGAGGTTTGCAGACGAAGTCGCTGCCCCAGCTAGTAGATTATAAGTCCTATGCATTCCACTACCGCAAGGTGAAATAAGGATTTGTAAGCTTTCGTAATAAAAATGTCACAAATACCAATATTATTATATGTATTTGATTGTTGTAATAGAACTCAAATAAATATGTTTTTTTTTTTCACGTCTATATAATCTTTTGTGCCAGCATGTACTCACCAAAGTTTCCCCCTCGCAGACCTGGTGTAAATTTTCAGGTTTAACAAGCAACAGGTTGCACAGTGCGTGTAGCGCGTCAAATAACGCATGCGCCGGCGCAGGGGCGGCGCGGCTGCCACGCCCGCACACGGCGGAGCGATACTCTTTGACATCACAAATTGCGATCATAGCACCTGGTAGTTAATAAAATTTCAATTAACAAATTCAAATTATAAATTAAACACATAGATAATTATAAATTTGCTATTAATATTGTACATTTGATGACCCAATGTGACTGAGAAATAAAGGTATTCATTTAAAATCGACTTTTGATTAAAAAAAAAAAATGAGTTAGAACCGGTTTCGAAAGAGTTCCGTACTGTTGCACTAACCAATAGAGTTATTGTGGAAAAAAAATCAATCTAAAATCGCTTTTTAACTTATATAGTCCATCGTGTGCAATGACATGAGAAGTTTTTAATTTTGGTTAAGAAATAAGTCAATGCCTCATCCAATATTAATGTGATATTTACTAGTCTTTATTAGTTTAGCAGCCGGTGACATTTAATAAAATTGTGTCTAAACTAATAACTTTTTTTTATGATAGAGCAAGACACACCAGCACTTCACTTGATGAAATAACCCAGCCATATAACAAACAAGATGGGTTCCCTATTTTGATTTTGATATTTAGAAAAGAACGCTTACCAGCAGAATTGAACTGGAAGTTCTGTAAGTGCTCGTATATGACACGATGCAAACGGACTGATAATTCCAAAGTGACAGCACACAAGTTGTCGCCTTCTAAGTTCGAATGAATCTTATCCATTACTGAGTTCAAGTAGGACACAACTGCAGCACAAGCCTGGTAAAAAACGTTACTATTAGATGGTTCTACTATAATTTTATATGCGCCGGGCAAAAGCCTATTAATTAGCTTTCTTTACAGTTAATTAAAATATAAGTATGGAAAACGATCAGCACCATAGCAAAACAATACAAGTAAAACAGTGTATGTAACTGTCGAACAAAGTGGCTATAATTTGCACAGTAAAAAGTTTTGTAAAAGGTTGTATTGATCGAATTCAATTTAGTAGTCTGTAGGCGATGTTTGTAGTTTCCGCGATCTACGGAAACAAAAAAACATACAGGAGAAGCCAATGTGTCAATATCTCCCTCGGGTTTGAAGTCGGTCTTCTTTTGTTCCGTCTGGAGATGAAGCTTGACCCATCCAACGATAGCTGCTATAGACCTCTCTAACCCCGCGTCTAATTTATTTTCCAGTGTTTCGATTATTGCATTTTTTCGCTGCATACATTCACTTTGCTTACTCGCTGAGCTGTAACGAGAAATAAACTGTTAAAAGTGAATATAACAATGTAAACAAAAAGCCGTTAAAAATAGATGGACTCGTTGGTGGAATGGTAGTAATGCATGGCAATTATCAACGGGTCGTGGGGTGGATCCCCACCGGGTCCAAAATTTTTCAAAATTTATAATTTTTCCGGAAAATATTGGATTTCGTCTGGAAGGACCGTACATAAATCAAAAAGTTTCTAGTTCAACATGTTTCAGAATAAAAAAAATATTAGAAACATGTTGGTCGCAATGAGAATCGAATCACGACCTAGTCTAAGATATAGGCTTTTCAAACTAGGAAAAATACCTCATACACGGAAGTACAGACTCTTGTAAGCATTCTCCGAACATCCTCACGATTTGGTTAGTCTGGTTTACAATGTCAAAGAAGTGAATCTGTAACAAACGGCGACATTCATCTCATTATGAAGTCAAAAACATTATATTTGTTTGTCTTTCAATCGCGGACTTACTAAACGATTAACACATTCCAGTTTTAGCATATAGTAGCTTCAAAGTATTAAAAATAGGATATGTAGTACTTCAAATAAAAAAAAATCTAAGATAATACGTAATATCAACGAAAAATGTTATTCTAGGAAAACGAGCCACAGATTTGTGTATGAAGAAAGATATTAAAAATGGTAATATTTTATCTTTAAACCTGTGGTGGTGCCTTTCCTTCGGCAATCGGAATGGACTGCAATCCTAAATCCAAAGCATAGTCGACATGTTCTATTAGCAGATGTTGTATCACCGCTTCTAGTAAGGCTATTGTCGTCCCAGATAGCTCGTTTGACGTACATAACTATAAAGAAGCATAACTTTGATTAATTAAAGAGATTTAAATAAAACACTTTAACGGTTTAAAACGCGATATATTAGTTAAACTTATTTGAAAATGATTTTTAACTAATATATCGCGTTTTAAACCGTTAAAGTGTTTTATTTAAATGTGTACTACTCGCGTAAACTATAGACAGTATTTAATTAAAGAGACTCAAACTTCCGTTATAAATTGTAACAGGCTTTGGCGGCCATTTTGAAAATTTACTTGAGTTTTCAAAGCATAGGGTTTATTGAATACCGGGTAAAATGTCGAGGTGGTGAGCTGACACCTCAGTCTTACATAGAAAATTGGGAAATAAAATTACAACCGAAATGTGACTTAACACTTCAGGTTTTATGGCTGCTGGTTCGAGATATGGACTGAATTTTTATATTCTTACCATTATGATGATTGTACGTCAAAGCTTATTTATTGTATACATTTACAATACTGAGTGACGACACTAATCTACATCATTGGATCTGACATAAGATAACACGTACATACTTATAAGATGTATGTTTTATGTTCAAGTCTATTAATAAATCAACTTAAAAATATAGAATGTTAGTTTATCACTTTTCTTTTAGATGTTAAATTAGAAATTAATTTACAAATGCTGTATCGAAGCCGCTACGCATCGGTTCTTTGCCTTTAGTTGTATCTACTGGAAGAACAGTTCATCTGTTCAGTAAATCTCGTTTAAGGTACAGACATAAAAAATATAACGGTATATTTCATGAAGGCACTATATAATTTTAAAATCATTTTTCAAATAAATTTAACTAATATATCGCGTTTTAAACCGTTAAAGTGTTCCATTTAAATGTGTACTACTCGCGTAAACTATAGACAGTATTTAGTATACAGCATAACCTACAGTTTTACACCTCAAAAATGAAGTTTTAGTGTCGTTTAACATCCTTTGAACGAGTTGTTGGCTGAGGAAAGTTTCGCCGCCGTAGTTTTCAATCTGTGCGATGTTGATATTAGCACGCGTGCCTATCACTGCTTGTAGATCGCGACGCAGCTCTTGGAACCTAGAAACATATATTAAAATTGTTAAAATAGGGACGCTGATAGATATAACCAGCAGTGATTAATTTTATTAAGTAAAACAACTCATAAAAAAGTGTTTGTCAAATAACCTAAAAAAATAGAAATAACCTTATTAATTTTAAAAGTTTGAAAACAGTATAAAAAACTTTATACATTTATTTTTTCGACAGAACAGATGGCGCTAGCGTAGCAGTTTTTTTACTTTAACGTCCGACACCCCCTCTTTAGTCGCACCGTGAACTCGACTGCTGCGAAGCATCCGAAACGTCGGCCCGTAGTTAAAAATAATTTTCAAATAAGTTGAACTAATATATATCGCATTTTAAACCGTTGTTATGTATTTATTTACATATGTACTACTCGCGTAGACTACACAGTATTTTTTTAGAGAAACTGTACTTTTTAATATAGCAATAATCATTCATAAAAACGGTCTTAACTAAACAAAAAATGTTACCAGTTTAAATGACAACGTACCCTCCTCCTTGAATTTGTTTCTTCACATGTTGTTTTTCCACATAATAACCATTTAATGTATTGCTAAGCACCGCCTTCAGTCGTCTGATCTCCAGGGCAGCATAGCCATCTGTAGCACCGGCCATTGCACCATTAATTAATGCTTCTTTACGAAGTTCTCCCGTCGCACTGTTGCCATCAGCGGACACGAGGTTAGCAGCTATCAAGTCGTCGCAAACGCGTTGGGTACTAAAAAATAAACATTAGCTATTTTAATATTAGATAAATTATTATAACATATGAGATGTATGAATTGTTTAGGGCTTTCGCGATCAGAACTAATTCTATACATAATTACTTATTTCAAAACTTGATAATATTCTGTTAATAATAAAAAAAATATAGTCTATAATGTAATTTATGCCTTGTTGACATTGACAGAGAAGATGACGTATACCTCGGTTGCAAGTTCAACTAGAATTTGTATATTTTCAAGAAAATGTTCTTTGATTATTCGTTTATAATAACAATTATACAAAAATAACAGGAACAAAACTCTTTCTAAATTTATACAATACAAATACAACCTTATTACTTCAGAAATAAAATTCAAACTACCTTGTATAAACTTCATATAAATTGCGCAAGTACTTTTCAATGTCAGTCTTATCAGCCAGTTTCGTCTGAATATACTTTTGCAGTTTCAAGTGGAATATATTCAGCACAAACTTGCTCATTACTTGCTCGGGGTTGGAGAAAACATTAGTGATGATGGTGTTGTTCTTTTTGCATAGTGGCAACACTGATGAAAATATATCCTTACCAAGGAGGGTATTCTGTAACAAGTAGTAAGTTATATAGTATATAATATGTATTTTTTTCAATTGACATTTTTTTTGACATTCAATTGTCAATATTTTGCCAGTGTAGACTTGAATTTTTTTTTTATTATACTACAACAATATAATTTAGTGACCTATGAAACATTTACCATTTGACTTGTCTCAATATAAGCATCAACACATTGTGAATATCCCTTGAAATTTGTCATAATGCTGGCTATATCTTTCATTTTAGTTATATTCCCTTGATTTTGAGCCTTTACAAATTCTTCGATAAGGTTTCTCTCAATTTCGTCATATTTAGCTTCTATCTTCTTTCGTGCCACTTCAAACTTGTCTGGTGGTAATTCTTGAGCTATTGTATACAGTTTTTGTATAACATCAGCTGCTTTGTTAAGCTAAAAAAGTATAAAAGCACCCAATTAAAAACTTGGACAAGAGTAATTTTTTCTTTTTTCAGTTCATCAAAAAATATTTATTAAATAAGACAGAATTATTAGTATTATTACTGAATTATGAAATACATTATAGATAGGATATAAACTACAACAAAGCCCTAAATAAATAAAAAGGAAAGCCAGAGATAGACTCTTTAGGTTTTATTATATCTTACCTTATTAGAATCACTAAATAAATTACTCAGTACAGGGCCAGGATTGAGAAAGTTAGCTAAATGTGAGAGCAAATCTCGAGCAGCAGCAGCTCTAGCCCGTGGAGCTCGAGCAGCACCAAGCTTCTCACCAACATCCAAGGCCCTTCCCCCACACCTTGACATTCTTTCATCAAGGGAACTGAATACTGTTACACAGTGCTGTAAAAGAAAACCCCTACATATTATTATTTGTGCAATTAAGTTTAATAAAGCAAAACTATTTGTACAGTCTCCGTGGTTGATTGGGCAAACATTGAAATGCAATTACTAACTGAATGTTGATCCATAATTTCTGCCAGTTTGGCAAGATACATTTTTTCTTCTTCTTGCACACCTTGCTCTAATCGTGCGCATTTTCTTTCTTGCCTTTCTTGAAGAACCTAAAAAAATAATTAGTAATACATTTAGAATATGTTTAGCTCTAAAACTCTAGTATTTTGTCACGTCTTAGTCACACTTTGCATGTACATTAAGTAAAAAACAATGGCGAAGTATCAATAATTTGCTGCACAAACCTTTAAATCTTGGATTGCTTGAGTAAAAATATCATGTATCATTTCAGGATCAAATTGGTCATCCTTTAAGCGGCATTCTTGCATGCTACGGCGAACCATTCTTTCAACAAATTCGTCAGGATCAAATGGCTCCTAGAATAATTAATAATATAAATGATCAAGCCAATTAATTAACAACACTAAGTAAAACAAAATACTTACCGCTTCAAGTTCTTTTAAATATTGATTCATCATCTTCGCTGCTTTTCTTGTAATACCGTTTGATAAATAAACAATACCTTTTATAGAAATAAATGATCTTATTGATATCCGCCCACTTTCAAACTAATTTCTAATAGTCAGGATTGTATTATTTTGGCATAAATTACTTCTAATAACATAATAAAAATAGTACAATTAATGTAAGATACGCCAAGCTGTTAAAAATAACTCAACAATTCGCCTTCATTCTTTTAATTTTTAATAAAAGTTTATATTTTTCGAATAAAATCCATTTAAATAAACAGAATTTACCAACTACATCTAATCCTTATTGACGTTGACGCATTACTGTCAGTTGTCACGAATGTCACGTTAAAGACGTCAAACTGATACAAACCGAAATATATTATTACGCAAATAAAAATGACAAATATATAGACTAATAATATAATTCACTTTTAATTGCTCAGAACACGAAATATATTTACTTATTTTTTAATCATCCGAAACAGTAGTAAGTGTTTAATTAAAAGAAAAATATCAATTATTTCATTTATTAGATTATATTTCATAGTTATATTTAATACTTATACTTTAAAAAAATCTATTTTTTTGTTCAACCTAAAATCAATTTAATCCATCAGCTAACTCAAAGCAATTAATTTAATTATATATAAATTAACATTAAAATGAAATAGGTAAAGGGTTTCATAAGTGTGAAATTGTTTATTTTAAAAATTGTAAATAACTTTAAAAGAGGTTAACAGTAGATATATATTGAAAGGGTAAAGTAATCTCTGAAAATTTTAACAATTTTCTCCTTCAAACGATTAATACAGGCCCTATTTAAAAACAATTCAATTTTAGAAACTAAAGAAAAAAATGTACGTCAATGTAGCAAATACGTCTTTTCGTAAGACTTCTTGAATAGTGAAAGCGTTTTTTTATATCCAAATTCTTTGTGATGTCGTAATATATTTAACAAAATTTAGTGGTGATATAATCGTTTATTTAATATATATTACTCTCTTTCATGAGAGGCGTGCGAAAAGTAATTACCAATTATTGTTTAAAAAGCTTGACAGGAGTGCCACTGAACATTGTGCCTATCGTATACGTGAGATGTCCAATGTATCCTAAACGGGTAAGGATAAAGTCGTTAGAGCTCCATGGCTGAGCGTCTCAGCCCTCGAAGCTCCGAGGTCAATGCCTTGGAACAAAGAGGCTACCTGATTGGGAAAAAAATAGGACAAGGCTCATACGCCACTGTTCACCTAGCAGAATACTGCGATGCCTCCAGCCCCAAACGAATGCACTTAGCGTGCAAAATATTCGACAAGGAGAAAGCACCCCGAGATTTTTTGGAGAAGTTTTTCCCTCGTGAACTTGATATATTGACGAAAATAGAAAACCCACACATTATTCAGGTACACAGTATTCTACAAAGAGGACCACGAGTCTTCATATTCATGAGATACGCCGATAACGGAGATTTACTTGACTTTATAAAACGCAATGGCGTCGTCCCGGAAAATCAGGCGAAGCTTTGGTTCAGACAGATGGCTAGCGGGCTTCAATACCTTCACAGTAAAAATATAGCGCACCGCGATCTGAAGTGTGAGAATATTCTGCTGTCCCGCCGATTCAATGTCAAGTTAGCAGATTTTGGATTTGCACGATTCTGTACCGACGGAGAGAATAGACGCGTGCTTAGCCAAACGTATTGTGGGTCGGCAGCGTATGCCGCCCCGGAAGTGGTCAGTGGTACGCCTTATAATCCCAAGCTGGCTGATGTCTGGTCTCTCGGCATTATTTTGTTCATCATGTTAAACGCTTCGATGCCTTTTGATGATTCTAACCTTCGCAAGTTGCTGAAAGATCAAATGTCACGTAATTGGGTTTTTCGATCTAGAATTAGGGACTCCGTGTCTGCTGCGGCGAAGTCGATTGTAAGACATATTCTAGAACCTGACATTACTCTACGCTTGACTTTGGATCGCGTGTTGTCGCACGAATGGACTCGACCGCGTAAGGACAAGAGCGCTAGCTTGATGGGACGCCTGGTTCAGTCTGCGCCGTCTGCTCCTCATTCACCAGGAAAGCACGATGAGGCAGGTACTTCTGCAGGTGTACGGGTCTCCGGTGACCACCGCGAGACGGAGCGCGAGAGACACGACGACATAAACGTCCGCAACCACGCATAATATACCAATCTTTTCCGTACAGGTGGCACTTAAGTGAGATATGATCTTAGATACATATTTGGACATTCATCAATCTTAAATTTTTATACAAATATATTTCTATTTTTTATTTATTTTTACAATTGACGCCATAACGTTTAGTTAGTCGTCAATAGTGAAATTAAAGAATTTATATAAAACCATACACGTGCTTTACTTATATAGTATTTAAAGAAGCAGGCATTTCTATATCAGCTTAGTGCATTCTGAGGGATGGAAGGAATCTGTCTTTCACTTCTCGAAACTTCTCAAAACGCTGTGTCCATTCCTCATCAGCATCCAGGGGAATTTTATGTTTAACATCTAACAAAGATGAAAACCCAATGATACCATATGGGATTTTAACAAACGGGAACTTTATATAAAACACTAAAATAGATTCTTTTGGATCGAATTCTACTATAACTTTCGAAACCGTGCTTATGTATTCCATAAATAGATACGTTATAGTCTTAGAAAGTGGGACTTGAGGCTGAAAAATATTGTCAATTACTTGCTTTATTGCTTACTATCGATACCACTATAATAATAATTATACTCTGATATTGACTTTACATACTCACGACTAATTTTATAGTGTAAAAAGGTTCAAAGGCAGGTATAATGCCTTTGAGAACTAACGACACCATATCTGTTTCTGTCGGAGCTCCTTAACAATAAAAAAATAAGAAAACTTAATATTAAGCGCATATCAATTTTTTTTCGCTATCACGAGCGGGCGGCATCATTGAAGAATGACTTCTTCAAGCAATCGAGGAGCTAACATTCGTTGTCGTCCGCCGTGATGTCAAAATGTCCAGAATCTCTTATCGCCTATGTCGGTCGAACAGCCCAAAAATCAATGATATGCTGAACTATGGTCGTGAAATTCTTACACATTTTTTTAAATATCATTAAATTTGATTTTTGTTGAAAAAAATGTCAAAAGACTAGTGTTTTTTTATATATATTAAGCTGTTAAGTCGAAATAGACGCTGAAAAATCAAATTTAATTTGTATTGACCTTAAGAAACGGTTCTATGATGATATAACGCTCTGTCAAAACGACATTTTTATATCTAGCATAATCTGTCATTCATCGAAGTTAATTAAACACTACCTACCATATTCATAACGGCTAATGTGGTATGCTTCGTCTTCCTTCCTTGAAGTTACAGCTAATAGAAGGTTAAGTAACACACAAGATGACATCCACATTTCAGATTATGCAAACAAATCATTCTACGGTAATAAAAAAATACGTGCTCAATAAAAATGGTCTTAAATCAAACACTACATATAAAACGGAATAAAGAACAATTTTGTTGATGTAAACGTTTACCTTTTTTTCACACAGCGATACAAAAAAATAAGAACCCAATTTTGCTAATTCACTTACAGTTAATTATGTCCTATTAATGGTGAATCCAAAAGTGGTAGTGTCGTGGTAGCTATAATATGTTTATATGTAACGTTTGCACAATCAAAATGACCATAACTTGAAATAAGTTCAAAATATTTCGTTGTTTCGAGGACTCTGTCATAGCTAGAGTTGTTGGGACCACGATCTAAATATAGCGCGACAAGTAAAGATAATAATTAACTCGAGCTAAACCTGTGAGAATTTCCCATCGAACTAATTAAATCAACGTGTCAAGCGAACGGTCATTGTGTGAAGGAGCCAGTGTTGTTTTGAGTGCTTAGAATTGATTTGGTTGTGATAAAACAAATGGTACCTACAAGACAGCGTGCAGAATTCAAAAGTAATATAAGCTATCAGTGGCAATGGATATTACTAGCATAATTGAGGCCGCTAGACGCATAGTAGCCTAACTAAAACAAAATTGACTTATTTATATTTTTATAGTCTAAAATTGTTAATACACAAGAGCACAGTGACCAAAAATTGTTAACATAGTTCTTACACAAATAATAATACGAATTCATTTCTGCCTAAGTTAATTGCGCATTTTTTTTCTCCTTATATTTATGAAAACCTTTTTTTTTGTTATTAGGCCACTCTAGCAATTGAGCCTCAGAATTTATAATGTTCATTCATTCTTCAAAGGTGATGTACCCTCTAAAAGCATCATGAGCGCTTGGCTCGGCTCTGACAATGATTTTGTAGCGCGACCAAGTGATTTGTGTGATACTGTAACGAATGGTGACTTTATGGCTGGAGGAGTCGTAATCCACTTTGGGCGGTGATAAAGCCCAAACACGTACTTCGACATACGTCGCATCCATTCCAGTTGGGACCTAAAAATTAAAAAACGTCGCGGATATCATTGCTAGGTAACAGTAGTATTTATCTTAAAGTTTTGAGGGGCCGTTGCTAGCAGCAGTGTATGGCTAGTAATCGACAGGCCATGGTTTCGATCCCCACCGCGTCCAGTATTGCGCTTCTTCTGAAACATTGGTGTCTGGAAATCTGGATATTAAATGAGTAGGTACGCGTCAGGAACCACCGCACACAGATAAAAGTGTCGTGAACTTTAATCACGTTTCGGTTTGTAGATTTCCGAATATCCAAAGTCAAAATAGGTCAACGCATCTAGTTTCGACGTTATATGGCTAGGTTATTTTATCTACCATTAGTGAATCCCATGTTTATCTGTCCTACTTTGTCACAAAAAAAGTAATAGCATTAAACAGTAGTCTAGGTCTGACAGAAGAGATCTAGATGTGCTTTCAGAATTACTTGAGAATAAAAGAAAGTTTGCGAAACTTCAAACTCCATTTACTAGAAGTATATCCTGCTAATATTATAAACGTGAAAGTTTGTATGTGTGGATGGATGTTTGTTACTCTTTCACGCAAAAAGTACTGAATGGATTTTAATTAAACTTTCCAATAATATAGCTTATACATCAGAATAACACATAGGCTATTTTATAAAATTCTATAAATTTATAAAGATATTGTGTGAGCTGTCTAAAATATAACATTAAGTACTGTCTATAGTTTACGCGAGTAGTACACATTTAAATAAAACACTTTAACGGTTTAAAACGCGATATATTAGTTAAACTTATTTGAAAATGATTTTTAACTTCGGCCCGACGTTTCGGATGCTTTGCAGCAGCCGTGGTCACGGGGAGACCAATTTCATTTCCAAATCAGTTTAACTAATATATCGCGTTTTAAACCGTTAAAGTGTTTTATTTAAATAACATTAAGTGTCAAGTAACTAGGAAAAAACCTACCTTTCTGTGGGCTATTTTGGTGTGCGCTGCCATAAACGTTAGTTACACATAATTATGTAATGATATGATAGAGATCATTTAGTTTAAATGCGAGATACTACGTAATCCTAATCCTGCGTAGACGAAGTCGCGGGCAGCTAGTTAATATTAAAAGATACTTACCTCAAGGTGTTTTTCAGTCACAAAAGTCAGGGGCAATATTGTTCCTTCATCAGTGTAAATCACATTTCCTTTTTCCTCACCTAAAACAGTTTGTGAAGTATTATATTCACAATAACTCGTTGCTTCGACTTACGTTTAATAGAATTAATTATCAAAGAAATGATTGTGAGAAACAATGAGTGCTTCTTGGGTTAAATACACCACTCAGTACATAGTGAAAACCCGCTTCTTCCCACGGGGCAACGGCGAACATATTTCTGTGTCTGTTTCATGATCGGTTACAGGAAAGTAGTGGATCAGACTTCTGTCCGAAACAATTATATGCTTCCCGACGATTCGAACGCAGGACTTCTCGAGCTTAAATGCTAGGCTACATATTTAACCATTTACTTAATTATAAAAATAATAAATAAATACAAACCAATTAAAAAAACACTTTAACGGTTTAAAACGCGATATGTTGGTTAAACTTATTTGAAAATAATTTTTAACTTCGGCCCGACGTTTCGGATGCTTTGCAGCAGCCCCGTCTTCCCGTGACCACGGCTAATATAACTAATATATACTTTATACTTTTTAAGCCGTTAAAGTGTTTTATTTAAATGTGTACAACTCGCGCAAACTATAGAGAGTATTTAAATACGAACCAAATTTAAATACGTAGGTTTCAAAAGCATTAGCACAAACCGCGAAGTAAAATAATGTAATAAAAATGCCAATGTTTGCCACCAAACGTGCCATTTTGTATATTAAACTTATGTATGATACTCAGATGCACTGTATCGCTCTATTTATGTTTTTAGGTTTTGACGCAAAGAAAATAATTAGCTAATTATAATTAAACGTAATTAAAATTAACAGGTGCCATAATGTTCCGTAAAAGAAAATAATTATATCGATTATTTCCGTTAAGCCCGAATCAAATCTGCTTTAATAAGCAAATGTTAATTTTTAGTTACCTAAATCTCTGGCCGCACTTACCTGTTTAAAAAATGTTCAAAAAACATCGAAAATGCAGTTTAGTTTCGCAGTCCCAAACTTTTAATATACCTATATCTATTATTTTCTCATTGTTGTAAGTATAAACAAAATTATTTGATATTGGCTCACCATCTTCATTACTAGCCGTGCTTGCGACTTTGTCCGCGTGAAATAGTTATTAGAATTATAATATTATTTATGTTCTGCCGTTCTTACGAGCTAATCTTAGATAGACATAACTGATGCAGACATTTATTTCATTTATCTAAATAATAATGATTCTTCCATAAATATGATTTGGTTTCTTGAGCCGTTTTGCAGCACACGCAACAAAATAAATAAATCCCAAATTCCCCGCTGTCTCTTCGCTGCTATTAGTCGCAGCATGATGTTTTATAGCCTTCTTCAGTAGATTAGCGCGTTCAAACAAACAAACTCTTCAGGTTTATAATATTAGTATAGATTGAGTAAAATATATTTAATTTAATTTAGATTTGAGTCGGTAAACCCTTAGCTATAACATTATAATTTGACATTGTTATCTGAGTCAAACTGTAGGTGATTTTCACTTTATGCGTAGAGTTTTGGTAATCGACTTTTGGTCGTGAAAGGGAATTCACATGCACCTCCAAGAAACTTATTTCCATGTTCGGCGGCGTCTGCAGAAGATAAAAAACAATTAAATCTTACATCCACAGCACAGCAATGGAGAGACAGATAATAGGAATCTGAAATTTAATTTTAATTTCAAAATGCGATGCGCAGGCGACTGTTTATAACTTCCTCGTATCTGGAGGGAATCTTATCAATACAATATACCTAGTTACAGAGGCCCTTTCATAATAACAATATAGGGTTGCAAGTTATGTAAAAATATACACTTTACCGGTATATATTCAACTGTTTCGTAAGCAAATGGTAGAATAGTTCCCTCCGTGGTATGTACAATTTTACCAGTGTCAACCCCTTAAATAAATAACTTATTATAAGTGGATTGTAAATGATAATCAATCTGTAAAACTATGTTTACTTATTATTACAATTGAAAAGCTTAAATATACTCACCGAATCTAAAAACATAGTGCCTTGCATCGATACAAGAAAATGTAACTAAGCAAATAAAGAAAACATATTCGTTCATAATGGTTCTCGAATGTTGGTTACGGCAAATCTTATCAGTTATGTTGGACGAGTATAATACTAACTTTTCTTAATTTATATTATTGGCGCCAATTAAAAAATGCTGTTCTTATTAAGTGGTCCTAATTTTACATAATTGGATATTATCTAGTGTTGTTTTACAACACAAGAATCTAATAAAAAACGGCTAAAAATAACGCGTAAAGTTAGTTATTATGAAGTAAACCTATATAACTTACTTATGTAAAGTTAAATATTTTATATGTTCATCCTAGAAAATACTTTGACTATTGACAATACCATTTCCCCCATCACCTTTACTGCTTCATCCAAAACGTTTAGTCATAAGTAGTTTTAATTTAATTAATTTATCAAATATCAGTAAAAAGCACATAAAGAAATATTGATTTAAAACCTTATTCCATTATGTCATTCTTTTAATATATCCCTAATTTGATAATATTCGATTAATTGTACAGACAGACAAACAATTTTATTTCTAAGAGTACTTGGCAGCAGTCGTCGTCACAGGGGAATGAGTTAAGTGTTTTTTTAATGTGTAGGTACTACTCGTGTAAATTACAGACTAGAATTATGTTGGCTTTACCACCATATATTTATGATTAATATTACAGCATAACAATATACAAATCTCAATGATAAAATAAGATAACTGAATTCTATATAAAGAACTTTAGAAATAACGAGGACATCCTGTGAATTATAAATGGTCCCCTATTGCGGTCTTGTTATAAACTTATAGTGTAGATGCTACTCGCGTAAATTACGTATATTCTACATCTCTGTAACAACAACATTATCCGATTCTTCTGCGTGGGGAGGTATGGTATGGTTGCAGAATTGATAAGTCTTAATAACAGCGTTTCCAACATAACGACCCGTGGGGTCTTGTCGTACTACGTGCATGTACTCATCGCCAAGTGTGAACTGCACTTGTGGAGGAGCAGCCCAGTCGCAAACCACCGTCACAGCTTTATTAACTGCTGCTGGATTGATGCAGAATAGCTGAAACAAAAGAATGGCTTGTTGGTCTAATTGTGTCAATGTATGGAATAACTGAGTCGTGGGTTTGAATTCCGATCCCTACCGTGACCAACATGTTTTTAATAATGGGATGAAATGGATAATATTTTTGAAACATGTTGGAAATCTGGTTATATGGTAAGAGTTTAGAGTTAAATTGACATAGGCTTCAAATACCATATATGCTAATTGTGTAAAATAAGTAAATAAATACAAAGCAATAGAATAGCAGTATAATGTAATATGTATTATATTATACCAAAAAAGTATTTGTCTTTCAATAAAATTATATACGTACTTGTTGATAAGCTTCCCGCTGACCCGGGATGATATAGACGACTGGGTAATCCATTTTATAGCGGGATGCGTAATCGGTATCTAAATGAAAGTAATTAAATTAAAATTAACACAAACAAGGCTATCACGACTATTTTGTAAAGTTAAGTCTTGGGTAAATCGATGATCGCTCCAAATTTCGTGATGATTAGCCATTCACTCGTAATTCGTCAAGAAACATTTCTTAATTACGACTACTGAACAATAGCCAAACTTAAGTAGTTTTACCTAAAATTTAATTCATCTACAACTTACAAACCTTTAGTAACTTGAGTACAGTGCGGAGGTGAGGCCTTCTTTAACTTTCCTTCCAATCCAATCGCAAAGAAAAGCACAAACGAAACTAAATATTTTATAAACATTTTGTTATTATTAATCTACGTCTCTTACTCGGAATTCCTTATTGTAGAGAATAAAAATCAGCAAACAACAGTTATTTACAATTTTATTACTTATACTAAGTGATACCAACAATACCAATTATATCAACTAACGCGATAGTAGTGTCATGATCTAATTTGTGTGGGTTTAGCTGTCAATTACTATGGGCGCCCCGCATCGTTACTCTTCTTTTAAAAAACTCTAAATGATACGTAACTTTTATACCTAGTTAATAAAGTAACTTTTTATAGAGGGCCTTAATTCCTCATTTTTTCCGATGAGGGCGAAGCCAGAGCGAAAGCAATTGTCGTTATCCTTAAAAAAAACTGTCGCAAAATATAAATATGTGAGAATGAGAGTGTCTCCTTAAGTCTTATTGTCATTCCTTTTGTTTGCAATATTTTTCATAATATATATATTTTCGAGATTATTTAACTTCAACCAACAAGCCTTTATGTTTTTAAATATGTATTAGGACAAACCCGATATAGAATTATAGTGTGTACTGTAATATATATGAAGCTGGACGTTGTATATCCGTTTATTGATTATTGATAGGTATGACGGTTATAAAACATTCAATTCGTATTTATCGGTCTCTTGGTTTTCTATATTCGCGGATAACTTTGTCGTTTTTAAATCTATTTTGCTTATGCTTTTATTGAGGGGAACTTTAAAAAATCCTAGGGCAACTAGGGTTTTCATTAGTAATTGTAGACGGAACTTCTCGACAAGGTTTTCTTTACATTAACTTGTGTACATACCTTACGCTACCTTGTGTTAGAGCTAAAATTTTATTCTAAAAATACCCCATACACCTGATGTGTTGTGATTATCATTAGGGGCTCCATGCTAAAGAAGAAGGACATTGCACGACACTTCTCAACGGTTTACTATCCTGTGAAAAACTACAACTGTTAGAAGAACACAAAAAAACTGAATGTTTTACTTAGTACCTACGGAACGAGGCTAGGGCGAAAATAAAACAAACATAAAGTTACTAGAAACTTTTAATTTTTCAACGTTAGGAAATACTAATTTATCAAAAGCACTTTATGCCACATACTAAACTAAGATAATGGTATTAATGGAGTTAATCTTGCAATCTCTCATCTTCCTTGTCTTCAATTTCGTACCAAAATTGATAATGATATATCGCTTCTGTCTCAACTTCCACTTCGATGGCTGTTACTGTTAAGAAATATAAATTAAGTTAAAATATATAGGCCTTCCTTTACATCAATTAGAATTGGAAAATTAAAAATATATCTTAGACATAAACAAAGTACAAATTATAGATTCTACTTGTAAAATAATGTACATGCATCGTAAGTTTGTTAATATGGTCACATTTTTCTTAAGCCGCTGCAAATCGACCCCAATTTCGTCTTGTAAGTTATCATAAAAATCATTATTGTTTACATCTATACTTTGTAATGAATTATCCATTGCTGTTTGTTTGATTTGATTTGACTTTTTGACGTTTTATTCTTTGCGTTTATTTAATTCTCTCAAATTATGATGAAATTTACTTAGAATAAATTAACAAAGGCGCACTTTTTGATTTTATGTGCCTTCCCACAGATGAGCTAAAATTTGAAAATAAAAAACTACAGATATTTGAGTGTCGCATTGACAACCATTATTTTTGTAAAAGTGCTCTCCTTTATTTGTCGATGCTGTTTTGTGATGCACTTAATTTCTTGATCCAAAATTTTCTACAATATTTTTTGTCTTGGTCTTTATAAAATGGAGTCGTTGCAATAATTTAAAAGTTAATAATTAATTTTATCTTTTTATCTAAATGACAATATGGCAAACACTAACCACAATTTGTCATTGATTCATTGACGGATGTCAATGTCAAGAGGGAACATATGTCAGATTCTGTCACGCGTTCTTTTGTGTGATTGTGATACTGTGTTGTAAAAATATTAAGAAATCACAAATAAATACCCATCCAATATTCTTAAGAATTACTAATGTTTTTAATAAATTCTTGCTGTGAGTGATTAATATTAACGACTCCACGATGATGAGCGATGACGACCGCGACATTGATATTGAAAGCGATGTAAGTGTTGTGTTTTTGTGTGTTAATTCTGTAAACAGTGATTGCTAACAAATAAAAACTATTTTCAGGCTGAGAATGACTCTGATTCCCGACAACACTCGAGAAATGGTTTAAGCAGTGGGGGTTATTATTCACAGGTAAATGTTTCGTCTCTGCACCTGTTGTCATGTGGGTTTATCCGTGTTCCGTGACCTTACATTTTCTTGGGATATATTGACTTATTTAGCTGTGTAACACGCTTCGATGAGCAGAACATTTTATTAGCCCCTCGGCTTGAACTGTGTTCCTTGTCTTATTATTAATATACTTAGGTGATTTCTACTGGGTGCTTTTAAACATGCCTCTTGTCATTTTTTAAAAGTTATACTATTACAGTGTTCCTTGATTTTCGTCATTATTAACAAATACAAGTGAAATTTGTCTATATTGGAGTGTAGTATTTGAAAGGATTTCTTGTTTTAGGCAGAAAAAAGAGCTCATCATAATGCTTTAGAAAGAAAAAGAAGAGATCATATTAAAGACAGTTTTACTTCTCTGAGAGATTCTGTACCGGCTTTACAAGGGGAAAAAGTTGTAAGTAAATCGAACTTAACTATGTATTCACTAAGTATGCCTTTGAATTTAGGAAATATATTTCTATAAATTTTAAATATGTTGATAGACACATTTATCTGTGTTATCAACAAATATGATTTTAGAGATGAGTGGTGAATGAGCCAATATCATCTATCATAATTTTTCAGGATTTTCATCCCGGGAATGCTGAAACATTAGACCCTCACTAGATAAATTAATAATAAGTAATTTAGCACTTACTCTCTTGCATTGCTTGTATTGTTCTTAACTAATGTATTACAAGAATAGTCTTGTTATTTATATTTGCTTATCATGGTTATGTTTTACATTACAGGCAAGTCGAGCACAAATATTGAAAAAGGCAGCTGAATATATACAATTCATGAGAAGAAAAAACAATTCCCATCAACAAGACATAGATGATCTCAAACGACAGAACAATTTATTGGAAACACAGAGTAAGTAGTTGAATATTTAAATTTTTCATAGCTGTCATCCAAGCCTCCTAGTTAGGAATTCAATTTAACTTTTTTTTTAAACAAACTAATAATAAAAAAATTCTGTAATGATTTGTATTCTAATCTTAAAACATTATATTTATAGGTTTCCAAAGCTGTTTGTTGTTCTTTATTTACATTGTTTTCAATATCTTAAATACAAATGTGTATGTTTTTATTGACACCCTTCAAGGCCGAAAAAGGCAGAGGATAAATAAATTGTCTTAAAAACAAATAATAAATAAACAAAAATTCAGTCGCATCATATTGTTTGCAATTTATTTATGAGAATTAATTATCTTCGCAGTACGAGCACTGGAAAAAGCAAGAGCGACTGGTAACTACATGGATGCACATGAGCTAGGTCTCGGTATTAAATCTGAAGGCAGTTCACACGATACAGATAGCTCAGACGGCGAGGGGACCACTCGTCGAGTGAAAAAGCTTAAGATTAATGGTGTTAATGTTTAAGTTATAGTTAAGAGAAACATAATGATATTTGGCATTGGTACTTGGTGCTGTGTTGCGTTTAAGTCAATCGGCACCTTAGAGAACAGTTTACCTGAAAGTAGGCTTTTTGTAAGAACAAGTATGTAAAACTTTTTACAACTGATTACTTTGTCATTGTGCTTGCCATTGGTAACTACTTTCCAAATCGTGAAAGTAGTTGACAATCAGCAGACAAGATTACATTCATTTGTATAGTGGATTCCAGGTTTGTTAAATGTTTTCTATTAATTTGTTTTGAGAACTTTATGTAATCTATTATTTTTGTGATTAGATACAACATTGCAATTTTGTTGTTTAAATCAAAATCTTTTAATATTCACCGTTCCAGAAACAAGATAGCTCAGAAATAATACATATTTTGTATATAGGTTTGTTTACTATCAAATTTTAGAAAACCATTTCGCCTACTTTTTGGAAGAAGTAATTTTACCAATGCCAGATTATTTGTTGCACATTGTAATAAGCGGATGACATTTTGTATAATACTTTGACAACTGTTTTGCTTAACTGGAATTGTCTTGTTATAAAAATAGTAAAGAATAGAAGCGAGATAAATAATGTACTGTCTTAGTGCAATGTATGGTCAGTAACCAACGGGTCGTGGGTTTAATTCCTATTGATTTGATTATATTTGTAAATTATTTTCTTCTTTATGTGGAAAATGTAGATATTATTCGGGTGGTAGAAATATTAGAATAACGACGAGGTTACTAACTACGGAATGTTTTATTCTGTGGAAATTTCAATGCTCAAATCAAAGGATGTCCAACTTTTGCACGGTCCGATTTTAACATTTCATTAAGTGACTTTTATGCTTCATCATTTATGAAGCATAAAAGTCATCTTGAAATATGATTTACTATGAAATTTATAGTACGCTATGCTCTCGATTCTTTGTTATCTGTCAACAGCTGTCGTTCCATGATTTGAGGAGCTGGAAAATAGGGCCCAGGATGTCGTTATTGTTTTGCCATCTTGTGAGCACAAATTAAATAAAAAAAAATGTTTTTAACTTTTTCCTTACATTCTTTATCTCGTTTCATTGGCCTTACTATAGAATTTGAGTGACAACGTAAGTTTTAGGCTATTGTTTTTTGCAATATATTTTTATATTATATTTTTGTTAAAATCATTCTTAGACGCCTAGAGTCTGTCTTTGATGTGTCAATACCTTGTGACTTGCGATTATACAGTTTTATGTATATATACGATCGAAATTTAAAAAATCAATGGTCCTTACCTCTCGTAAATTTTAAGCATCCTTTTGTTGTAAAAAATAGTTAACATTGTAAATTACATGTTTCTAAAGGAAGTAAGTAATGCAATCGGTCGTAAGTGATTAAAGTTAAAGCAATAACATCTATTTGTTTATTTTAAGACCCACAGTTTTTAGATTCTCTTTACAGTTAGCTATACCAAGACTAAAGTCTGGTAAAGGTGCTTCGCTATGTTATAGAGAAATTATTAAGGCGGGCTGCGTAAGATTAAAAAAATCTACCAAAATGTTTACTGCTGATTATTACATGCCTCTGCGGTATATATATGTAACTCGTACTTTTAATCTCTTAAGACAGTCTTAAAATTACTCAGGATAAAAGACAATTTAGATTTAAATAAAACATTTTAACGGTTTAAAACGCGATTTTTTTTTTAAACTTTTTTGAAAATGATTTTTTCCCCCCCCCCCCGGTGCCGGGGGCCTCCCGGGGCCGGGGGGGCGGGGGGGGGGGGCCCCGCCCCCCCCCGGGGGGGGGGGGGGGAAAAAAAATTTTCTCCCAAAAAATTTTTTCCCCTTTTCCCCGTTTTTTCCCTTTTATTTTTTTTTTTTTTTTTTTGGTAAAAAAAAAAAAAAACAATTTAGATTTTTAAAAATATGACACTTGAATCAACGACTACAGCGATTCGTTCTGTTGCTTGATTGGGGTACGGTAATAATCGAAGTCTCCTCCAAAACTATCGCCTCTTGCGCAGTGTAGTTTAAAAGGAAACACCCCAAAAGATACATAACATATAATTTATATTGCAGAGTACTAGATCGACACGAATACTACTCGAGTCGTTTTTCCCGGTTTATTTTTCAATGTTTAGATAACGCTGGATGCTTCGCTATGTACGTAACCATAGTCTTTAAACGTTCCAGTGAAGCTCAACTTTTTGCAGAACAATGGAAAAGAAAGTCTATATTTTTCTCTATTTCCACTCTTTAAAAGACATCCTTCATGGGAAAGGTAAAATAAAAAAAGTACATTTACTAGTAGACCTCCTAAAATTAATTTGACAACTTTGTTCATATCCAACCTCGTCTGAAACAAAGAGATGTTATATTATTATACTTTTCACTAATTTTGCTAACTGAAACATCTATAGACTGTGGCCACTGTATATTCGTAGTGGAGTGGATCTATACTTTATTGAATGCACTCCGTTCCGTTGTGTATTTGCTCGTCGAATATAACATTTTTAGCTCAACGAAGCTGTTTGTGCAGTGCCATGAATGCGTTTCCAATATCGAATGTGAAGCTATTGCGCTGTGTAATTTTTTTATACCTGCAATTTGTATTTAAATAATTACAAACACAAATATGAGCTTTACAACTAGAAGGATTATTATCGACATATATTACTGCTTTGGCTTACTTTAATAGGATAAATCCGAAACAACCAAACGTCTATATTTTCCTTTGCTAGACTTGACTATCTCTCGACAATGTTTTAAGATATGTATTTAAATATACTAAACAATTTATTATGTTTATTATGCATTCTAATAATCCTAGTGTTTAAATCTGCTATCACATTATAAACGTCATGTCTGTACTAAAATAGTACAATAGTAGCACGGCACAGTTATTTTATAGGTATTAAACGTCGTGTCTGAACTAAAATAGTACAATTGTAACGAACTTGATGTTTCGTTGAACAACAGACATTTAAGATTAGATAGAAAGAAATATTCTAGAGAAATAAATTTTAAATCAATGTAAGCCATGTGTGCGAATCACAATGATATGTTATTGTTGGATGTGTGAAGAAAAGAATTTGTTTTTCAAATTTTTTTATTGCACGATATTATCATTACAGATAAAACATTAAAACTGCGTTATTGTCATTGCATTATTATTAATGAAAAAGTCAGACTAATAATTAAGTAAAAACACACCGATCAATATTATTTTACTGGGACTGATATTGCACTGTTTGCGCGGGCTTCCTTGGGAAAGGCTATCGGTTCGTAATTTTCCTGCAAATATATAAAAAACATACTATAAAAGCTGCTTCCTTATTTAAGAATGCCTGTAATAAATAGCTATAGACATGTAAATATTGCACGCTTTCGTTGTTTAATGGTTAAATACATTGCCTAGCGTATTTTATCTTGAGAGGTCGTGGATTCTTGTCCCTTAGGACATAATAAATAGTTTCAGTGAAACAAAAGCCCAGAAATATGTTATGTAAGCTACTTTCCTACAAATATAATAGTGACACAGATATACAAAATGTTAATATTAAAATTACGTAAATAATAATGAATACAAATAAAAATAACTCGTACATTCAAAATTAATAAAAGTAAGAAAATAAATCAAAGTATAATCTAAGCTTAAATGTATAAACATATAATATTTTATTTACCTATAATAAATATTCAGCTATAAGTTGATCAAGGTCCCAATCAATCTGATAATAAATAAAATAATTTTAAATTAGACTAAAATACAGGTTATATTTAAATAAATTTTAGCAATTAATTAAGGTTAATATGGAATTTATAAATATAGATACGAATAAGAAATAATAAATGTTATTGCAAAGAAAGGTAAATGATGAAATTTTATTCCAGAATTATAATTAAAGAATACTTACAGGAGAGTCGGTAAGGGAATCGAGCTGAAGAGGCTCCACTTCTAGTTCTGATTCCGTAATTAGCGCATCTTCACTACCTGCAAAATAAATAAATTGTTCATACTTTATAGATCTATACACCGTAAGGTTGTTTCAACCTACCTGCCACCGTAATTAATAGGTATGTTACGTGAGTAAGTTTGATATAGCGTTATTTATTTTTTAGGAATACTAGCAGTGTCAGGGACTTCGTCCGCGAGAATCGTTATTTTGAGCATCCAAATGCGTTTTGCAACCCCTTCACTTTTACCTTTATAAACTTAAGCTGTTGCACGACGTCGGTCGCGTCCCTTCCCGTCTTTCAAACCAACAAACCAGCTCTTCAGCTTATATTAGTATAGATCAGTTTTATTCACATGTCTAAAAATGATTTAAGTGTGTCTATTTGTACAGGACTATACACGTTAAGCAAAGATATGTTGCGCTAACTTAGACATTTGTTTCAAAGTCGTCAACTTACTTGCTTGTTCAATCTTAACAGGAGGTGCATTTATGAAAGTCACTTTATCCTTCTTGGATTCCTTTACCGATTGATGCTTTGATTTATCCTTTACTGAGCGTAATGCACGTTTTTTCTTCAATTTGTCTATCTTTCTGACTCCACCGTGTTTAATAATATCTTTCTTTTTACCTTCGATGTCCACAAAGTTGGACAATCTCTTTTCTATATCTTCGACTGAAACAAAGATTATTTATGTAAATAAACAGTAGGAACAAATTAATATGTACCATATCACAAGTGAAATTTCTTTACATATAAATGGAGTTGTAATACTAAAAAAACGTGGCCAGTCTAACGTCGGTTGGTACCTGGTTAGGTTAACATTCTACATTCTGCTTACAATCTAAGAATATCTTACTTTGTTGTGCCAATTTTGCGTTACAGCGTTTCAGCTCCACTATGTCATCACATGGGTCCACTCTTTTATCCTTTCTTTGCAATTCGTCGACAGCTGTAGCCAAAATATCCACACTCGAAGCCTGGAATCAAAATGAAGTTTAACTATGCTACATAACGAAAACCCAAACTACCTCCCTTCTAAGACTGTCTGTATCGCATGATTAAAGAAAATAGAATGTTTTTATACCCATATTTATATAAAACAGAATATTGATTTACTGTATTCACTTTAAAAATAAATAGTTATCGTAAAATAAAATGAAAACTATGCATTTCCATAGACTACAGTTTTAAATAAAACACTAACGGTTTTAAACGCGATATATTAGTTAAACTTATTTGGAAATTATTTTTAACTTCGGCCCGACGTTTCGGATGCTTTGCAGCAGTCGTGGTCACGGGGAGACTACAATTTTCTTAAATTTCAACAAAACAATCCGATTTAAAACTTAAAATATACCAACTGTCTGTTTTAATTATTTTAACTACGGCCCGACGTCTTTGTACGTAAACTATACATAAAATAAATATTTATTCTATATACTATATATGACAAATTTATTTGTAAAAGTATATGTGTATCACATATATGATTTCTTTGAGAATGCTAAGTACGTTTTTGTTAAATAAAATATTAATGTGGTAGATTCGGCGTACAGGGAAGAGTACTTACAGAAGGTTCACACCCCAAAGCTAGTGCTAATTCTGACATTGCCTCTGCGGTCTCAACCCGTCTCTCTCTTTCGTATTGTGCGTTGCGCGCGCGCCTTTCTTCCTGCAATAAAAACGATAACTTTCAGTTGATTTAATATTATAATTTTAGCACATTAATGCTATCTAGTTTTTAACATAGGATAATTTTAATTCATTTATCTTTGTCCATAAACTTTCTGTTCTAAGGTTTGAAATCATGTCTCCGCTAAAACAAGACCTTACGTTAAAATATAAGTTATTTTAATGTATAGATAATAATTTCAACTTAACACCTATTTGAGATGATGTAGATAAATCAATAAATTTGCATTAAGTAATAGAATATAAAAAAAAATACACTTACAACTGACAATGGAACTCTGCCTTTCCCAGCAGGTCTGCCTCTTCTTCTTTCCTAAAAAAGAAAGAACTTTAAAATACCAAACTATCAACAGCCACGATAATTTAAATAAAACACTTTAACGGTTAAAACGCGATATATTAGTTAAACTTATTTGAAAATGATTTTTAACTTCGGCCCGACGTTTCGGATGCTTTGCAGCAGCCGTGGTCCCGGGGGGTTTTTCCCCTTTTTAACCCTTTAATTTTTTTTTTAATATGAACTCGCGTGAAGTATTTAGCCACGGTAATATTAAATATCCAAAAGCACTTACAGCATTCTCCATTACGAGATAGCACCGTGAGGTGCTAACTCATTAAACTTGCAAGTTAAAATAAGAATGATTTGAAGAAAGCTACAATTAAATACCTGCGCCCGCGCAACCCTCTTGTTACCCCTACCTTAAAACAAAAGCTTTAAAATCCGCGAAGCTTATCTTCAGCGGCTTTGACTAAACTTTATTGCCGGGATTATGGAATTGGTAGATAAAAGGTTATATTGCTTTTCGAATGAATAGAATTCGTAAAGCACGAACAATGAACTATTTTCGGAGTAATAGATAACGAAGCAGACTGTATGTCGGTAACTGGGTTGCTCTTATTATTTCTTTTAGTTATTATTTTTATTTAGTTATTCTTAGAAACGTTTGCCTTAAAAAAATTATGAAGTCCTTCTTATATAACGAAAAAGTACTAACAATTATTATTTTGTTTGTACCTATTTTTTAAACAACAGGATTGACTCCATTGAGCGATACGTATACCTACGTAATACGGAAAAGTGATCGTGAATTTTCCGGCTATACCTACAGCTTTTCAACGAACATACCAATACCTAGACATGTTATTTAGTTTATTTTTGGAAGAATGGTCTTTTCCGGTGTTTCTCTTTTTATAAGACTAACTGGTATGCTCGCGACTACGTCCGCGTAGAATAGTTATTTTATACGACGTCGGTCGCGTCCCTCGCTGTCGTTCTTGCAAGATAATCATAAAAAATAGACATATAGCGTCGCGGATTTTTTTTGAGAATTTAGACGAGGAATCATTCTCTCATATTTATTTTTTGGTTATCTTGAACCGTTTTTGCAGCGTACGCCTCGGAAACCCTACAATGATAAATAATTTTCCTAACTTTTCTCACTTCCCGCTGTATTTTCGCTCTTATTAGTTATAGGACGACGGTGTATCGCCTATAGCCTTCCTCGATAAATGCCCTAACCATTTTTTTAATTCTAAACCCGTAGTTCCTGAGATTAGCGCGTTCAAACAAACAAACAAACTTTTCAGCTTTATATATTAGTATAGATATGTAGCATACTATAAGAGATCTCGCAGTTGCAGCTGCTAATATCACCTAATACCTAATATGCAATATAACAATTCATTTGGTTTTTTCCGTTCTTAAAACACCGTTTGCTTGTCGTAGCTGGATGTTCCGAGATATTCTAATCTAAGATTTATTAAAACATACAATTTCTTGAGTTTAATATAATATGAATGAAAACAAGGCGTTTAACTCTCGTTAATATAGTTTCATTTAATATAATTAATGGGAAAATAAAAAGCAAAATAGTACCGATGGGTAGACCTAGTAAGAGTCTTAAAGTTATTTTCTTTTATCGGATGTTGGTTCGTTAGGAGGTAAGTTTGTGATGTTGATAGTTAGCGTGGTACAAGCGATGAGCGAAGCAAAGTGTAGCTGTTTTTAAACAGTTTATTTAGCTCGACCCGTACGGAATGTACTTATCTGGGTCAATATTAAAATTTAGGCATCTTCTCGTTGTCAGATTGATCTGAAATTTGGTACACACATTTAAATTAGGTGACTTATATAGTAACATTATAAATCCAAGATGGCCGCCGATACAAAATGGCTGGTAGCTCTCAGGGAACAAAAAAAACTGTTTAACTTGAAAGCTTTTTTAAGATGATACTTGTTATTGTAAAATATCCACTGCTATTTTCTTCAAGAATAATCTTTAAAAATAATCTCTTCTATAATCTAGTTAAATGTTTTATTTAAATATATTAAAGGTTTTAAGACGCCGCTGCCTGTATTTTTTATGAACTGGTAGTTAACAACTCCTATAGATTATATACTACTTTTACTATAGTAACTACAGAATTAACTACACTAATACCCCGAACTCACCTGGTAGGTATGCCCAAGTGTTATCTTCTGTGAATTCTTGGAAGTTGGGCACAGTTTTGCATATACTAATACGAATAAAAACTATAATTTAGAAAAATGAGTAAATTATGTTGCATATTGAGTCAAATTATATAATAAAAACAATCAGAGGTCATTTTGTTGCCCAAGGTTTCAAGGAATAATACCTTCTTCTTCAGTAATTCATCATACGAATTACTATCAGCTTTTAATTGTATAAATCCATGCCAGACAAAGTTAACTCGTTCAAATCAATCAATTAAAAAACTGAGTAATTCAGAATTCTGTTTTGTAGATTACGATTACGAATTAGAGCTCGATGAATGATGGGTGTGGTGGGGGCTTTTAAAATTACATCCTTTGATGTTTAAATATGGCTACGTTATTACGTATTAATAAGGTATTTATGTCTACTATACAAAGCTTACAATAGTTATTGTTGTTTCTACAAATCATTTAAATCAGAAAAACACTTTAAAAAATACTTTAACCGTTTAAAACGCGAAATTTAATTGTTAAATAGTAATAGTAAAGTTGTGGTCGGGGGGACAAATAAAGTAAAAACTTAACTAATATCTTTCGATTAATTAATCTGTTAAGAGAGTATTATTAAAAAAACTTTAATCTGTGACGTGTGTACTTAATCGTACTTATAAGTAAGAAACAGACAGTTTTTCCTTTATCTACTTTTTTCTTTGTCTATGTCTCTGTCTACTTATTGGAAATCTTTAATCCTCTGCCTTGTGTCGCTCTTACAAAGCGCTGAAACACGCTTATATGGCTCGGAAACAAGCTTTTATAATAATTTCCAAGATGGAAATACTCTCTTCACCTCCTTAGACTCTCAATATGTAGCTAATTGAGTTAAATAAAGTGCTATTTACTATATAATAAACTATTTTACACTTTACTATGCGAAACGTAACTATGCCACCATTGCTACACAAATGTCCGACGCGTCGGGTCGAATTAAAATACATTTCGCGTATTTAACTGTTAAAAGTACTTTATATTTAACTCCATATTGTTCAGTAGATCTAATTTATAAGGCCGGCCGGTCCGGTTTTTCCCCCCGTAAGTGTGTAAGGTATAAAGAGGCTTGGATGGAATTTGTAATTCGATGTCTTAGCTTTAAGCTTTTAAAAAGCAGAGCCTAGTATTAGCTGTAAGTGTATATAATATTAAAATACTTTTGCCGTTGACCAAATTTCAAAAGTAAAATAAGAACTTAGTTTGAACTTGAGGTTCAACTAGAATTACTTTCTACGAAATAAATAGCCGTTAAAATATATAACTCAAAGTGAGAATCATAGATATCTCGTTTTTATTCATTTTCGTTTTAACGATAAAGTTAATTGCAGTTATATAAATCAAAAATCGGTTTTAGTTTAAATATTATGTCATGGGACTTGAACCGACATCGTAAGCGTTCTGAGCTATTGCTCTAAAAAATTGAGACCGTGTCCATAATATATCGTCGTGCTAGTCATGTATTTTTTTTAATATTGATATGACAAGTAACTCTCGCGCAATCAAAGTAAATCAAAGTAAGGACCAAATTTTTTTATACGTAAGAGAAATATTAGCAAAAAATAAGAATTATTCAGTTTTCAAAGATGTGCAGTTATTTATGTCATTGAAACAATGTCTACAGTTATTCAGCATCGCCATAATGTTTCAAATTAAATTAAAAATCAAAAATAAATTGTAAAACTTTATGACTCGGGCAGGACTAGATGTAATTTTGCCGTCAATTTATTTTATTTTCGATTTTAATTTATATAGTGTTATCATATGCAATAACATGTGAAAGTGTTAGAGTTTTCAAATATTTCATACTAATTTCATTGTACGAATAAGTTGAAATTAAGGTGAGCGTTTTCAGTTAATTTCCAGCGGAGAGTTTTATTGAAAGCTCCCTTATTGCCTATGCATTATAAACAGCGTTAATGAGTCTGACCTCGTTACTTATTCAGCAATTAATTAAAGTGCTATTTAATCGAACTTAATTAAACGATGGCTGCCCATTCCTAAGATTATCTTATATAACTTTTAGCAATTTCAATATGTCAACTATGTCAGCGACTTTGTCCGCGTAGTATAGTTATTTTGAGCATCAATTTTTTTTTGCAAACCTGTTCATTAAATACTGTCTAAAGTTTACGCGAGTAGTACGCATTTAAATAAAACACTTTAACGGTTTAAAACGCGATATTTGAGTTAAACTTATTTGAAAATGATTTTTAAATAATGTCTATAGTTTACGCGAGTAGTACACATTTAAATAAAACACTTTAACTCCCCGTGACCACGGCTGCTGCAAAGCATCCGAAACGTCGGGCCGAAGTTAAAAATCAATTCCAAATAAGTTTAACTAATATATCGCGTTTTAAACCGTTAAAGTGTTTTATTTAAATGTTTTTTAACTTCAGCCCGACGTTTCGGATGCTTTGCAGCAGCCGTGGTCACGTGAGCACCTGTTCATCCTAATAGATTTATGTCTATCGTTCCGTAGTTCTTGCATTTTTTAGATCATTTAAAGATAAATTCCTAATTTATACACATATTTTTTTGATATCTTAAACCGTTTATTAATTTAAACTCCGTTTTCCCGTTCGAAGCGAAAAATTTCGTTATCCAATCCATTGGTCGATTTCTTCAAAAGTAGTTGACCAGATGTATGTGCCCAGGTCGAACAAACCACTTATCGTTTATCCGTGATTCAAACCTAGGATCGCTCACGTGCTAGACGTTTAATTATGGAGCTACACACGGGTGATATACCAGAAATACAATACTACAGTATTTATGGTATATCGGTTGACTACTCTCTCTAGTGCTACAGTAGTCATCTAATGATATACCCTATAACCGAAGTAATAGGGCTAATAATTGCTAAGTATTCTTTAATTAAGTACATTTTTGTATTACAGTAAAAAACTACAATAATAACAAGTCTTTTTATCCACACAACAAAAGTATTTGCTAGTTAGACCTTTTGTTAGCATAGTTTTCAGTAATTCTCTTCCTGTGTGAAGTCTTTCAGCTTATTCCATGTTGCCGGCTGATTTCTGAAATTCAAAGATGTTTAAATCAATACATATGTACATATTT